AGAAGGTAAAAAAACAAACACAAGATTGGAAGGTTGTCCAATTATGTGTAAAATTGTCTGCCTTTAACATCCTAATATTATAAAGCACATGGTGAGCTATAGCTATGTGTAAAATTTCTTTTACACATAATACCTCACACTCTTGCTCTAGAGATTAAGGGAAAAAAAAATTTTTAATTTGGTACCTATTAAGCAAAAGGATATAAGGGGTATAAGTTAGGGTCAAAGTTGAGTGGAAAAATGGAAGAGATGTGAGAGACGATATACACAGAAGATCTACAAGAGCCTGGAATTGACTGGCTATGGGGACTGAGGGAGAGGAAAATTTCAAAGATGATTCCAGGTTACAAACCTAAGTAACAAGTGTGGTACAATTTTGCCTTCATTCTCAGACCATTTCTATACATCTCAAAGAATCATTCAGCCCTACCTGTGTTTCCTGGGCTAGGAAATTCACACATGATTCACACACATTCAGACCATAAAGGAGTACTTTGTCTAAGGCATGACGAGCTTAGAGTCAGAAAAGGCTCATCTTGCTGAGTTCAAATCTAGCCTCAGACACTTACTAGCAAGTCAATTAACCCTCTTTGCCTCAGTTTCCTCATCTGTAAAATGAGCTGGAGAAGGAAATGTCAAACCACTCCAGTATCTTTGTCAAGAAAACCCCATATGGAGCCACAGAGTTGGACATGACTGAAACTACTGAACGAAAAGGTCTCGCGAGGTTGTAGATTCTAGTCCCAACACTGACCCAAAACAGAGCATTCTACTTTGCTTCCACTAAGAGAGAAAGGGAAGTGGAGTGAGTAGGAAGATAGAGAGCAGAGGGAAGGCCAGACCTCTATAACCTCTCCTTGTCATCTTCAAACCCTCTGATAACCCTACCTCCTCCAGCATATCTCTCTTTTGTTTAGCAAATTTTTTGTTTTGAGAAAACTTTTTAGGTGGTCAATTTGTCTTTAAACTAGATAAGTTTTTTTTTTCTCATGCAAAACATAATCTAACAAATGCCTCCTTGTAGCCTTGCAAACAAGAGGGACTTTATACATGCTTACCCAATTGAATCAAATTAAGCTATATAACCATTGACTAAGAGTATCAAGGAGATCATGTAGCTAGCTAATTATGTCATCTTGCATATCTATCAGTTGATAAGCATTTATTAAGCACCTGCTAGGCATTTTGCTAGTAAAATGGGATTACAGATACATAGAATGAAACAATCTCTCTTTGCAAGGAGCCTACATTCTAATGAATGGGAATATATAGGTATATACAGAGGAGAATAAAAATAATAAATACATAGTAGGTAAATATAGCTAAGTGGCACAATGGATAGAGCACTAGGCCTGGAGTCAGGAAGACCCAGGTACAAATCCATTCTCAGACCCATACTAGGTATGTGACCTTGGGCAAGTTACTTAACCTTGTTTGCCTCAGTTTCCTCATCTGTAAAATGAGCTGGAGAAAGAAATGGCAAACCACTCTAGTATGTCAGCCAAGAAAACTCCAAAAAGAGTCATAAAGAGTCAGACATAACTGAAAACTGCTAAATAACCACAAAACATTAAATACAAATCACTGAAGTCTGTACTTCATTGTCTGAATTTGTAAATGAGAGACAGAATGGAGGAATAAATGTGAAATAAACTTGAATGATAAGACTCTGTTTAGAATTCTGACTTGTATTTATTAATTCAATTCCACAAACTTTTATTAAGTCTCTGCTATGTGCTAAGCACTGTTCTAGGTGCTAGGATCACAGAGACCAAAGAGAAAAAGAAAAAGAAAAAAACATTTCTATTAACTGCATTATCCAAGGGAAGTCACTAAGGCAACCTCTTTGAGCCTCAGTTTTCTCAGCTAGGAAAAGGGGATAATTTTTTGCAGCTACCTTATTGGGACATTATGAGGATCAAATAAATCAGGTATGCCAAAGCTGTACATAATAGAAATTCTTAGTTCCACCTCTGTTAATATCTGTGTTCTATAAGCCATCTACCTGATATTTAATAAAGATTCATAATGATGTATTGTTGAATAAAATGACTTTTCTTCACTACATGTATGTATGCTCATTAGCATCCCCCAGTCAAGGACTGAATATTAATCACCCATTTCCATTATCCTTATAGTAGATGAAAGAGAAGATCCTGCACATATAAAATACTCTCAGTTAAGAGAAAAATTTCTATCACTCCTATGAATTCCTCTGAAATTCAAATGATTTTTGCATTTACTCTGTACAAGAAGACTTTTTGTCCCATTTTTTGTAGGGGGGAGTGGAAATGGGGGCGGAAGGGTTATAAAATGACCAGGACACAATCCTTGACTTCAAGGGGTATATAATAGGATACAAAAAATATGTAAGCAGATAAGTAAAACATATGATGGTATGGCAGTACTTCTCAGTACTTTAGGGAAGAAACAACCAAAGTATAGGCAGAGTCAGCTAGATGGCACAAGTGGCTACAGCAGTAGACCTGAAATCAAGAAGACCTTAGTTCAAATATCACTTCACACACAGTAGGTATAACACCCTGGGCAAGTTAGTTAACCTCTGTCAGTCTCATTTTCTCTGGCTGTAAAATGGGGTTAATAATGGTACTTACCTCATTGTAAGGATCAGATGAGATGTTTGCAAAACTCTGCAAACTTTGAAGTATTATAAATGATAGTTTATTATTATTATTATTATTATTATTATTATTATTATTATTATTGTGAGAAGAAAAGGAGGAGATGGAGAAAGAGGAGGAGAAGAAAACAGGGCAGATTTTATTAAGGAGATAGTTGGAGTGTTTCAGACAAAGTCAAGAGTCACTGTAGTTATTCCATTTATTTATTTCTTGCCTATTTTGACCAGGCAAATCCCAGTTCATGGCCTTCTTTTTAGGTAGTCATCCTACAAAACACCATTATGCCTCAGTGTGAATCTTTTGACATTCCTACCATCCTAAGAGAGATGGGAGTTGGATTTTGTGTGTGTGTGTGTGTGTGCACACATTCATGGCAAAAGACAAATCTGATCTTCCTCATATCGAGTCTGTACCCTCCGGTCTGGACCCATCCTTTCCTATTTTATATTTGTTTGCATGTCATAGTTCTCCTATTGTAATCATCTCTCTAGGCACATCACTTCTCTTAAAAACTATTAATAGTTCTCCATTGCCTATGGAAAAAAATCCAAATTCTTTGACTTAGCACTCAAGATTTACCACAGTCTGGCTCTAGCTTACCTTTCTGACCTTTTTTCCCCAACTACTCCTCCATTTGGCCAAATCGTTATCCCCAAATACTTTGTAGTTGTGTCCCATTCTCTCTTCCTAAAATATTTCCCCTCTGTGCCTCTATAAATCCTTCTTTTAAGGCCCTGCTTAATTCCCATCACTTCTATGAAGGTATCCTTGACTACCCCTTCTGAAAATGATCCCAGCCTCTGCTGAATTATTTTCTCATGGCCAGGGCTGAGAAAATACTAAATTACCCTTTCACAATGGCATATAGAAACTTCATCATAATGCCTTATATACCTAGAGAAGTGCAGTTCATTGCTCTCACTCATGAACTTTCATGTTTTGCCAGTGTGATGACTTGGAGGGATAAAAAAGTCCCTAGCCACAAATAGTGCCAATTAGTCAAACACTATTGAGGACTTAGCTCCCTGGGATGAACCTCAGGCTTCCCAGAACTTGCTGTTCTTGTTCCAGCTCAAGAATGGACTCTACTGTCTGTAAGCTCTTGAGGGGAGAGGAGATGGACAGAGTGAAACAGGGGCCACCAGTATCTATGGATACTCATCCCTTACCCTCTCATATGTACCAGAAAGTACTCTGGACAGAAATGGGTGGCTCCTTCTTTGAATATTTGAAGAGAATTCTTCTAGAATCTTCTGTAGCACTGAAAGGATTCTTCTTTTTATTTTTTTCTCAATATGAAATTCAGAACTATTGTCCTACAACACCATGTTGTCTTTTTTTCCTTCCCCCAATCAACTTTCCTTGAAAGCTAAAAAGGTGAAATGGCTCCTGAATTTAGGGGTTGTCCTCTAGATCCAATGCAAATTTGTCATGCCTGCTCAAAAGTAATTCTGCCTTTGAACTATGTTCTATGAGCAATAAATTGTTTAAGAGGGACAATTGCTATTCTTTTTTTTTTTTGCATTCCTTTTATCGCCTTTGGAGGAAATTCCTTATGTGGAAATATCAAGTTTAACAACCTTTCATGAAAGTCATTTCCCATAATGAAAATGCTGTCCAAATCCTTAACTCTATATTTAGGAGTATTGGCAGTACATTATACAAAATGAATACTGTAATAACAATCTTGACAGGCTAAAGTCTCCCGCTTCAAATGTATTAATTTGTTGATTGGCTTCTTTCTTCCTTATTTTCCTTCAATAGTTCTATATCATCAGTTTAAAAGTAGTGAAAATTAGGATAGAACCATGTTCTTGTTATTATCTATCTCCTTTGTTCATCTTTTAGTTTTTTAGTAACATAAGCTTGTACCCATTCATTGCAAAACTTACCTACCATCACAAGTTTCTATCAATTTAAAGTTAAATACAAATTAAAAACTGAATTTAAAATGCAGTTTTTCAAATATTCTCCATTATGTATAGCCATGCATGAACAATTAGAAAGTGAGTCCTCTTTCCATTTTTTTGTCCTCATTTCCTCAGCACAATCATGGCACAATTCCTTCAACATACTAGGGACTTAACTAAATGTTTCGTGAATAGAATGAAATGGAATTGCTGATACATCTTCCTCTACTCATTATCTCTACACAGCTTCCAAAATAGTGCAACAGACTCTTGGCAAAGATCATGTAAATAAAAGATTTTCCCTCTTGTTCATTTTCTCAAGGAGCTGGGCAATTTATGAATACAGATGATGAGAGCACAAAATTCTTTAACCTTAATGTTATCTTATGTTCATATTTTGTTAAATGCCAACAGAGTCACTTAATCACTGTGAAATCTTTGCTTTCAGATATCAACATGGCTGGAGAACCCAAACCCTATAGACCCAAACCTGGAAACAAGAGGCCCCTTTCAGCTCTTTACAGGTAAATTGATAACTATCATGATGGAAAATATAGCAATGATCTATTTTTTTTATTTTTCTATGATAATTGTGATGATTGTCAGCATTCATTTTTTTAATTATTCCCATTTTATAATCTACTCATAGGACTTGGAGCAATATAAATGGTACAGAATATTAATCAATGGTAACAATAGAGAATAAGATTGAGGGGAGTGAGAAGGCAATCTAAACCAACAATCTCAGAGAAGTAATCTTTAAAAAAAAACATAGTCCCCTTTTTCCTGATTTTTAGTGAATAGAAAACCAAAGTACAGTCATTTATTTCAAAATAGGTTCTGTTTCACTGTTGTATAATGGATAATTTTGAAATGAGAATGGAAAAACCCAAACTCTAATCCCAGGTTTGCCAATAGCTAGTCATATGACCTGGAAGATATCATATAACTTTTCTAGGTATCAACTTCTTCATCTGTAAAATAGTCAGACTGGATGAGAAAAATCCCCTCTATCCCATTTGGATAAAATTCTATAAATATGAAAAATGGATGAGGAAGGATTTACATTGTGCTTAATGAAATAATATTAGCTGCTTTATTTTATTCAAAAAAGTTAATATGTTTTAAAATAAAATAAGTTAGGGCAAGATGATTGCTTGTTATGGATATTATAGAAAGGTTATATGCTGCAAGTAAGAGTTGGACAAGATGACCTCTAAGGTCTTTTTTCACTCTAAAATTCTCTTGTGATTCAATGATTCTGTAGATTTTGGTATTCTAGACTTAACTAAAGTATATCTGAACACAATTACTCCTAATTTTTACTACAGATTTCTCATAGAAGTATGGTTTCGTGGTATCCTAAATCTAAATCTATTCCCTTGTAATTGTTTACACTGAAATTCAGAGCTATGTTGATCAACAAAAGGCAAATTTTACTTTTGATAACTTTCATCAAATATAAAAAGCAATGTTTTTAAAAGAGATAAATGCAAATGACTCTGAAAGGAGACTCATTTTCCAAATGTTCATGCATGGCTGCATATAATGGAGAATGAAAAAATGAATTTTAAAGTATTGGAAGGTAAATGATGTCTTTGTCTTTCATTTTCTTGTCAAAATGCCATCCCTGACTTTAAGAATGCTAGTTTTCTTTTCTCTTGTTCCTCTGTCTTCCACTGATTTGATCTTTTTATGAGAATGTAGCTTGAGTAATAAGAAGCAATGTCTTCACACTTTTTAAAGTGCATTTTTAAATTCTTAGGGAATTTCATGACAGAGTGCTGCTTAAAAAGAAAAGTCAAAATTCATTTTCATCAGCTTGACAGGGCATCAGAATTGCTACAATATGTACAAGCCTACTTACAATGGGGCTTATTGCTGGCAGTGTACCAAAAAGACACACTACCTTCAACAATTTTTGCTTTTTAAATTTGTCTCTATTAAATTAATATGTGGCTGCATTGGCAAGTAAGAAGCACGAGAGTAAGTACAGAAGAGTAGTCTGCTGCTTTACAAGCAGTGGCATTTGAGAGAGAAAAAACACTGCATATCCCACATTTCTCATTTTTGCTATAATTTGGTCAAGATTCCCTGAATAGCTGTCTACACACTTGTCATAAAGAGGATATGTCACATCATCAGATACAGCCATCTATCAATCCCTTGTGCCTCCCCCTTGCCCTGCCTTTCCTTTTCCCTAATCCAATGCAAAAAAAAAAAAGCACTTATTAAGCACCCACTACGAACAAGACATTGTGTTGGGCACTAGGGGCACACAGACAAAACAAAAATAGAGTCCAATGATCTTATGTTCTAATAAAGGAAAACAAAATATGAGCAGATAAATGTATACAAAGTTGGCATATTTCTTATGTGTATGTATATGTGTATACATGTACATGATGTATATATATACGTAGTATATATGCATGTGTATATAGTGCATATGTGTGTATAGATATATATAAATATGTGCTGTAGCATATACCAAAGGATAATTTGAAGAAAGAGATAGCACTGAAAACCAAGGGGAAGAAGAAAGACTTCCCACAGGAGCTGGCACATGAGCTGATCCTTCAAAGAAGCTGGGGATTCTATAAAGCAAAGATGAGGAAGGAATCCTCTGCGGACATTGTGTGCAATGCCATTGAGGCAGTTCTAGAGTGCCAAGTTTGGGGAACAGCAAGTAGATTAGTTTGGCTAGAACATAGAGAGTGAAGAGGAGTGATGTGTAATGAACCTGGAAAGGCAGGATACAGCCAGCTTGTGAAAGGCTTTAAGTGGCAAACTAAGGAGTTTGGAGGTTATCCTAGAACAGGGGTCCTAAACCGTTTTTGTCATAGAGCTTTTTGACAGCATAATGATGCCTATAGACCCTTTCTTAGAAGAGTATTTTTCAGCACACAAAATAAAATATTTAGGACTACAAAGGAAACCAATTATATTGAAATATAATTTTTCTTTAAAGCTTATGAACTGGTTAAGATCACTTGTCTTTAAAGACAGTGGAGAGCAACTGAAATTTCTTCAGCAAGTGAGTGACATGGTCAGACATGCCCCAGGAAGAGGATTTTGGTTATTGTGTGTCAGCTGGATAGGGGACAAATTGCAAGCTGGGACTCCCATTAGGACACTATTGGAATAGACTTGATGAGAGGTGGTGAGGGCCTAAATTAGAATGTTGGCCATATGAGTGGGGAAAACATACCTTGTGGGATATTAAATGTTTTACTGAAAACATATTTTACAATAACAAAATTTATAAAATATATGCAACTCACTCTTTAGAAAACAGTAGCCAAAAATCCCTTTCAGTAATCCCCTGCTTAGATAATTGCAGCATCCTCCTAATTTTTTCTCCCTACCTCAAATATCTCCCCACTTCAGTCCATTATCCACCCTGCTGCAAAAGCATTTTAACTTGTGTAAATCTGACTATGTCACTTCTTTGCTCAGTAAACTCCTCCAGCTTATGTTACTTCCAGAATAAAATATTAACTTGTCCACTGAGCATTTAAAGTTTTTCACAGTCTGGCCCCAACCTATCTTTCCAGGCTTGTTGTATACTATTCCTTTCTTTTGCATTCTGCAATCCAGCCAAACTGGCCTTCTTTCTCTAACACTTACTTAATCTCCCACCTTTAGTCTTCATACCTTTGTACTAACTGTCTCTCATACCTGGAATGCACTCATCCTCACCTCCAACTCATGGAATCCCTCTCTTTTAAAAAAAAAATGCAATTTGAGCACCATCTTCTATAGGAATTTTTCCTGCCTGATTTTCCTTCTTCCCTCCTTTGCTATCTCGCTAGTGTTCTTTCTCTCTGTCTCTGTCTCTCTCTGTTTCTCTCTCTATCTAGCTATCTCTCTGTCTGTCTATCTCTCTCTCTGTCTCTTTCTGTCTCTTCTCTCTGTCTCTCCCTTTCTGCCTCTCTCCCTTTCTCCCTCCCTCCTCTCTTTCTTTCTCTATTGAATTACTTTGTATTTATTCTGAATATATTTATATATGTATTTTTGTCTCCCTTATGAGAACATAAGGTCCTGGTTAATAAGAATTATTTCAGTCATAGAAATTGTATCCCCAGAACCTGGCACATAGTAAGTGCTTAATAAGTGTTTGTCAATTCATTTTTTAAAAATATTTGATGTGATCCTAATGATGAAAAATGTATTCTCATAAGCCTCTATGGTGCCCCTTAGCAGAAGACTACGTCAATATCCTAAAGAATTAGTTGACCTAGAAGAAGTGAGCACTTTAATATAAGCATGTTTGTGCTCAGTTCCATCAGTGCTTGTTTGACATTGATGGTTATGTCATGATGACAACCAAAATACAAGAGATTCAGCTCTACAATATTCTCTTCTTGGTACAACATAGCTGAAAATTTTGTAGTACCATGATCTCTGAAGAATAGAAAGCAATTTCAAAAGGGTAATGGAAAGACACATGGTGAATGTGAGAAAGCCACAGCAAATTACTAATAATGATTTGACATAAGAAGTGATCTGAGACATAACTAAGGAAACTTGACTAGGAAAAGTGGTGACCTTGACATCATATATTGACAGTGAGGGAAGATGAACGAATGCAAAAAACACTTATTAAGCACTTACTGTATGCCAACATTTATTAATATCACCAAACAGTGCTAGGGCTTGGGTTATAAATACAAATGCAAAGATAATCTATGTTCTCAAGTAGCTTAAATTATAGAAAGTGACAACACAAATAGAGAATGGTAGACAGAGAGGAATATTTCAGCAAGGAAAGTCACAGGGCTGGTTAATGGAGCAACAAGGGAGTAAATGGAAACAGTGTTTCTAATTTAATTAGGGTATGAGAATGGGAATTCAAAGGTAAAAGATATGCTGGTATAGGGAGATAGCTGGCAAGAAGATGGCCAAGGGGGCAGCTGGGTGGCGCAGTGGATAGAGCACTGGCTCTGGAGTCAGGAGGACCTAAGTTCAAATCCAGCCTCAGACACATAATAGTTACTAGCTGTGTGACTCTGGGCAAGTCACTTAACCCAATTGCCTCAGCAATTAAAAAAAAAAGATGGCTAAGGAATAAAGTGAAGCATTGTGTTACTGCCTTGATAGATAGAGGCCCATGAGGCCTTCACCATTGAAGACTGGGGGCACCCCAGAGTTGGGGAACTAGAGCTTAAATGGATATATGTTTCAGGACATGATCTCTGGTCTAGGTGGAAAAACAGAGGTTGTAAGAAAACAGCCACTGTGTTAAACATTGGAGATACAAAGAAAGGGAGAAGACAATCTCTGCTGTCAAGGAGCTCACAGTCCAATGGCTCTAATAGATGGACAGTACAAATGATAAACTGGTATCAACAAATTATTGAATGGCCCTTCTATGGAGGAATTATGGAAAGACAAGTATCATAAGAGGGTGAGATGGTATAGAAAGAAGATTGTACCAGGGGAGAATCGGTGAAAGCAGAGATCCTTTGGGCTATTGGAAGCTGACCTCAGAATACTAAGATGACAGAGTTGCCTTTATTGT